CTGAAGAAGGGTAAGTCCCAATTCCCTGAAATGTGTTGGCTTTGTACATTATACTGATCAAAAATCTATTTTGGAACCAAATCTTTTCTGCATATGACTCGTCACTTGAAGCGCTACAGGAGTAGACAACCTTGGCACTCTATCTGCCTCTGGGAGTCCTAGCTGTCAGTCTTGCATAGCCTCATGGGATTTGTAGTTTCACCACAGCTGGAGTGCCCCTGGCATAACTGGAGCAGTCACATTATTTCTGCAAAATCCAATTTACATCTGGAGAACAGCGATGACCATGGAAAATAGAACCTCTGTTTAGAGAAGAGTATTAGCATGCCTATAAATATAATAATATATGGAGAGTGAGGATATCATGCCAGTAAAATGTCACTTTTAAGGCATTTGGGTGTTTTACGTTCGTTTTATGTTATGTTCCTACATCTCGGCCCACATGCACCCGATCGTACAATCAGAATGCATTGTGCAGGTTGGATACCCACGATCATCCCTTTTCTCTGTTTTAAAGTCCTGTGTTGATCTCCATTCCCTGTGGCCGTTAAACAATTGCTATTCCTGCAGTCACAGACATAGTCCGTATCTGTATCTTGCTGATCTCTTTAGTTCCCAAGGAGTCCCTGGGACAGTGTCAGCGGTCATGTCGATTTGGGCATCACCCAAGTTCTCCGGAGTTTTCCCACAGCCTTCTTCACCCCCTCAGTTCCTCCCTTTTGATTTGTGCGGCGCACCTTCAGCTCGGCTATGGCCAGCCCGCTTCCATGCTGGGGCCAGAACATCTTTACAGCGTCTGGGTTTATTGAGGAGGACTGCCAAGTGTGTCAGCTGTCTTATCCCATGACACACGCATTAACCTTTTCCTTCCAATGAATGACTTCATGCATCTAGGTTGAGTGTCCTTTTTGAAGTTCCAAAACAACTGCTCTGTAATCTATTGAGAATCAAACTGTATGGAGATACCAGACTTATTACACGCTAGGATCCAGTTTGTTGTCATCTTCCTTAAAGCTCCAGGTCAACAGCGAAGTACACTGTCTCAATTTAGAAAAATATCTGCAATTCATATAGGCCAGTCTTGTGATCAAGGCATGCTGTGAAGCCAGGTCAGTGACCCCACGTTTCTGCACTGCAGTTTAATAGTCCAGCTTGGTCCCCAATCTACTCCAAGTGTACTCAATGGACAATGAAGGAGCATCATCACACTAACAAAGTCATCACTCTACTTCTTTAGCTTCAATCTCCTGTCAATGTGTTCCGAGTGTTCAATTGCGAAATTAGAGCACGGGTGGCCCTGTCTGCATCACCCAACTAGACAAACTTCAAGTGTAAAAGTGTTTTACCATGGGGACAATTGATCTGGTGACAGCTGCCTAAGAGAGCATTTCCCTTACTTTGGGGAGATCTTCTCTCACGTCCTGTATCTCAAGACAGAGCGAGGAAAAATTTCCCTATTGGGACACCTATAGACCAGTAAATAAATATCATCATTTATTCAAATATTCCCAACTTTATCCAAAACTTAACAAATGTTTTGGCTTCAGATATGGGCTGGATGGGTTTCTTGCAACTTATGATGACCAAAGCTATAATTACTAAAGATTATCAATGCAGTTTAATATGCAGTTCAGTTTTGGGCACTGGTTCATACAAAGGATGTTTTGGAACTGGAGAGAGTGCTGAGAAAGGAAACTAAACTGATAAAAGGCATGAAAAAGGTCCACTATGAAGAAAGATGAGAAGAGGTGATTGGGCAGCGGGGGGATATGGGGGGTAATATGATCACCATGTATAAATACATCAGTGGTTCATATGGTGAACTTGGTGCAGCGTTATTCACTTAAAGGACAAGGGGGCACACACTCTTCTGGAGGAAAAAGTTTAATCTCTGTATGCGGAAAGGCTTCTCTACAGTAAGAGATGTGGACTAGGCTGCCCCAGGAGCTAATTCAGTTGTGTTTTTCAAAAATCTGAATGCATTCCTAAATGCACAGAATATAACTGGATAATAATATTTTTATAAGTAACAAACACAAGAGATTGTTGATCCAGGGAATATCTGATTGCCTTAGGGGATCAGGAAGGATTTTTTTCCCCTGTTGGAACAAACTAAACCATGCTTTAGGCCCCATTCACACCATGGCGATTCTGTCCGCCGACATAAACAACCCCATACATTCCTATGGGGACTGTTCATGCAACCGCCCGGCTCCACACAATCCGTACCGCCGCGTCCCTGAGCTATTTTTTCGCGCTAATCAGCACGTTTTTCATATAGATTTCAATGGAAACACGCTGACAGCAGGCTTTTGGGCGTTCTTATATTGCGCTTCAGCGGTGAAACGCGATTAAAAATGCCCATTCAAAAATCGCGCATAAACAGCACTAAAACGCTTCTGCCCTGGTGTGAATGGGGCCTTATAGGGTTTTATTGCCTTGCTCTTAATCTAACTGTGGGCATAGGGTTCTGTTTATGGAGGTTTTCTATGTATTCACTTTTTTTTCCTCTGTTAGTTGAACTTGATGGACCTTTTTGTTTTTTTTACATTTCTTTTTAACCTAAATAAACTGTGATTAATGTAACTATAACATTTGATCCATATATTTTGTCAGAATTCACTCTGCGGTGGGGCAGTTTTCTACCTCCTGTGTGGCAAAATTGATAACAGTTGCCCGGGAACGGGGTGGGGTGGGTTTTGAGACATCATCAGCTTTTATAAAAACGTATTAGCTGTATGCTCTATTTGGATAATGCACCACAACAAACAATTGTCGTAAATGAAACACATGCGTCATATAGAAGAGAAGCCGAGACAACTTCCAGGAAGGAAAATGCCATGGTTTTTTTTATCTTGTTTGTATGCAATAGCCAGGCTAATGCTGGCTGATTCCATCTGCGTTGTATGGATAATTTTTTCAGTCTAATGACTGTCAAATCGTATTAGAACATATGAATGTTGTCCAGAATCTTTGATAATTGTATGTTAATTAACCAATTCAGTGCTAGCCTGTATATAGTCCTTCATTACCATGACATGTTTTAGTTTTTAGTGCTGTTATAGTTTGACAATTACTGTCACGCAATACTG